GCGGGTGTTCGTCAGCAGCGGCGGCCGGGCCGCTCCTAAGTTGTGGAATCGTACGCTGTTAAGGGGTGGAAGAGACCGTAAAGATCATGATTCCAACCCCCACGCCGTGGGCAGGGATACCTCCCACTAGACCAGGTTGTTCTAAGCCCCATCCAACCTGGCCTTGAACGCTGCCAGGGTTGGGCCGTCCACAACCTCCCTGGGCAGCCTGTGTCACTGCCTTACCCCACCAACCCCACCCCACAGTGAAGAATTCCTTCCTTGTATCTAACTTAAGTTTCCCCTGTTTCTGTTTGTACCCGTTACTCCTTGTCCTATCTCTGCAGTTCCTCATGAGGTGTCCCAGCTTCCCTGTTTTCCCCCTTCAGATATTGGGAGATACAGGAGGTCTCCACACAACCTTCTCCAGGCTGTACTGCCCCACCTTTCTCGGCCTGTCATAAGGGAGATTCTCCAGCCCTCTCACCAACTCCATGGCCTCCTCTGGACTTGCTCCAACAAATGTCATTGTTTATGTTTGTGCTCAGTTTTTGTCACTTCAGCATTGCAGCCGTGGCCTGCATCGTGTTGTTTGTGCCCCGTATTGTGTGCAAAATCAAATATATCTTTTGAAATTCTTTCTTTAGCAAGATGCTGCCGACCACATTAGTTAATTCTGGGAGCCAGGGCAATGGTGTGCTGAGCCCCAGAGATGCTGCGAGGCACACAGCTGGAGCGAAACGCTACAAGTACCTCCGGAGGCTCTTCCACTTCCGACAGATGGACTTCGAGTTTGCGCTTTGGCAGATGCTTTACCTGTTCACTTCACCACAGAGGGTTTACAGGAACTTTCACTACAGAAAACAGACAAAGGACCAATGGGCGAGAGATGATCCTGCTTTCCTAGTGCTGCTCAGTATCTGGCTCTGTGGTGAGTGCGGCAGAACAGACAGTATAAGGAAGAGGGAGGGAAAGTTTAGGGATGAGCATTTATTTTCCTTCTAATAACACACACACAAAAAGAACCAATCTGTATGGATTACCTTTTAATCAAAATAGAACAAAAGAAAAAGGTTTAGCCTTTTTGAAGTTAAGGTGGAAAGTAGAAATCTGAGTAGGCTTAAGTGGTACTCCTTAGTCTTGAATTGATCTCAGTTGAAAATCATTTTCTGTTGCATTTTAAACTGCATAGTTCACTGTAACTTTACAGACAGTAAGAAAACCCTATGCTACACGGCAGTGTTTTTGTTAAAAAATACTGAATATTTGGTTTACCTGTATATTATGGATAAAACACTGTTTTTACTATAAAGGCCCTGGTGAGATTCTGTATATTGCAGAATCAAGCTGTAAGAAAAGTGACTAATATAAATGACTGAACTGCAAATTCAGTATTGTCTCAGCTCTCTTCTATTAGTATATTGCTGTTTGTAAAAGAAAAACTCTTAACTGAAATACAATTACACATGTGGTTTGGGTTAACAAGGAGCTTTTATAAAACAGATAATGTTCTATTGTAGCATTGTCTGAATTTTTTTTAAAATAGTTTGGGTGGAGCACTACAATTTGATCCAAGCACAGATGAGTGTTCATAGTATGAATAAATTGCATTATATCTAGTTTTTGGTGGAAAAAAATTGAGCTCTTGGACTGAAAATCTTGGGGAGAAAAATAAAAAAGGAAACTGGAGATTTCATAACAGGGTACATAAAAAAGACCATCAGTTAAAGATGTCATGCTTTCGTTTCCACAGCTGACTTCAATGATCTTTCTCTGCTTTCAGTGTCTACTGTAGGATTTGGATTTGTGTTGGACATGGGCTTCTTTGAAACAATAAAACTGCTACTTTGGGTTGTATTCATAGACTGCGTAGGCGTTGGGCTCCTGATTGCAACTCTGATGTGGTAAGTAGTGATTTCTGAAGCTGAGTTCAGCATTCAGGAAACAAAGAAAGTCCTCTGCTGTTTGTGAAACACTTGGTTCTTTGTTTGGGGTAAACTTACACTCAAGTATTGACTGTAGGTTTTATGCTGTTATAGTAATTTTTTCAAAATGATACCTTAAAAAAGAACACATCACTTTCTTTATTTCCTACAAAGTTAGTCAGAAGGTCTGTGTGATGAACATTCCAGCTTTTTTCTTTATTCTTAAGCTGGTTAACATTCAACAGTAATACCAACTTGAAGAAAGAAAAAAAAAGGTGATTAAAAAAGAAAAAGCTGTTCAATCAAAATAATGAATGGAAAAGTCAAGTAGTGTAAGCCTGAGGTTGATTCTGTTTAAGCAGGGCAATATACACTTGGCCTGTGCTTCTTGCTGAAGATTGTAGCTAGTGCCACTACAGCACTATCTATTCTGTCTTGTGCTTGGCACCTTTTTGCTTTGTTGGTAGGCGCTGCCAGCTTTATCCTCTACTGTCCGAGCCTTGCAGAAGTAGAGAGGCAGGAGCAGGTCATTTTACAATCCAGGCCTCATCAGCACCATGGATGTGTGCTGCAGCAGTGAGGGAACCATGAAATGATGGGAAGCCACTGTTTCTGTGCTGCAGCATGGGGAGGGCACCAAAGAAAGAATTTTTATTTTTCAAGGAACTTAAGAAAGCAAGGGCATTTAGGGCATAAGAGTTCTTAGGGATGGAGCTGACATCTTAAAGTGATGATGATTGGAAAAGAGATAAATCCTGACAGTGGTCTCAAGATCTACTGCTTGTAATTGCAAAATTGAGAATGAGGTACATAATAGAAACGTAGTTGATAGATGATAGGTCCACCTGACCTACACTTCTGTCTGGGAGAGCAACCCATAAATTTCTTGGGGAAGAGCTTACAGTAATGCTCCCTGTCCCCATCCTCCAGCAATTTGTGCTTCGGGATGCGGTCTCCTAAGCCAGGAACTTCAGCATCTACCGATCTTCTGCCTTTTAGTCAGCTTCCTGCAGGCCTCAATACCAGTCACCTGACTCGAGTTTGGTTCAAGTCCCTTCTTCCAGTGCAGGCTCACCATTTTTCCCAAAAGCTCCCCCCATTCCTAATGAGTCTAAACTCCTTCTTGCCTCACCTCTCCTCGCCTTGCACCCAGGCTCTTCCTCTATGCAGAGGCACCCCTTGTGCCCACCCTTCGCACAAAGTGTAGGTCAGAAGAAGCTTCCATAAAAACGCTGGTCTCTTATTTCTGAGCATGTCTTTACTTACTGTTCCTCTTCTAAATGGGATAAATATTTTGATGTCAGCAGAACTTAAGCTGGAGGAAAGAGCCTTGAGGCTCACTCAGTAGCCTGTAACACTGGGCAGTGCACTTTGCATTTGCACATCTTTTCAGTAATAATTGGCACATGTTAGGAGCACTCTCCTGCCCTTGTCCTGTCCTTGTAGTGCATCTGTTCTGTAGGGATTAAATAAACCATCTCTATGTGAGGTGTGCTGATCTTGTACAAGCACTTCACTGAAGCCATCTCCCTGTGTGTACACAGAGCTTGTGACCATACTGATAAATTGTAGCACTGATCTCTTTATAAAGAAATTTTGTTTCTGTATTACCCGCAGGGTATTTCAGCTGCCTTTAGCATGCAGGGGATGTGACAATAGTTTGAACAAAATCACTTTAACAATAGTCTGGTCTGCATGATTCTTGCATGTTTTTATTCCCAGGTAGCAGAAACTTTCTGATGGAGAGTTGGGATCACATATGACTTACTACATCAAACCTACGCTTTGTCAGCTTTATAGATTCATACTAACAACAGTCTCAAATATCTTTTCATGTAGGTTCATTTCAAATAAGTACTTAGTGAAGCAGCAGAACAGAGATTATGATGTGGAGTGGGGATATGCCTTTGATGTACATCTGAATGCTTTCTACCCTCTCCTAGTCATCCTGCATTTTATCCAGCTGTTCTTCATCAACTGTAAGTAGAATACTTTGAGCTCTCTGCTTCAAAATGGTGCACTATCAAAACAGCTGAGAGCAGTTATCTCTTGCAGATGTCATCATATCTGATTCTGTCATTGGGTATTTTGTTGGGAATACATTATGGCTGATTGCAATTGGCTATTACATCTACGTGACATTCCTAGGATACAGTGGTGAGTAACATCAACTTCTTTTGTATTTGTTTGACTGAAAAGAAGAGCATGTTTTCAGGCTATTAATTTGATCTTAGTGTGTTATTTGTAAAGCAGAGGCTTAGCTGCATGTTGAAGTAATTCCTTCTTTGTGGTAAATGAAGTTTGATAGAAATGTACCAGTCCATGTTTCCAACTGGGTGGACATCTTAACCAAAGAATTTATATTCCCCACCTCACCAAATTCCCTTCTTGTATTAGACCTGTAGGACCACAACTTAGTTTTGTTGTTCCTCTGGAAATCCACTTGAAGATGTTTGCATTAGATAAAAATTCTGTAATGAGTTTAAGACCACAGTTTTAGGTAAAGCATTTCCCCAAGGCATTTTGAGACAACTACAGGGCTAGTAGGGCAGAGATGTCTGATGAGGACAGCAGAACAGAACTATTTTTTATTGCTGCCTTTCCCCAAGGCTACTCTACATGAAGCACCTTTTTTAAAGAGCACTACTTTATACTTGCTTCAATATTGCTTCTGTTTCAGCATTGCCCTTTCTGAAGAACACAGCTATTCTTTTGTATCCATTTGCACTTCTCATCATGCTCTACTTGATCTCATTAGCATGTGGATGGAACTTCACCAAGATGCTTTGTTCCTTTTATAAATACAGAGTGAAATAAAACCAGGACTTTGTGTATCCAATGTTTATTTTGTTTCTACCTTAGCCATTTTGACAGTAAAGAAAAAATTAAGAGCATTTTGTAAATGGTTGTAAATTTTTCTTTATTGTAGATAATTGTGTAAAAAAGTTTGAAGTGTCCTTTTTTTTATTAAAATATTTACAACAGTAAACATGTTAGCAATTTTTTTCAAATACTTTTGCAGTACATTCCTAAAAACAAGTTACTTGTACATTTCCGTAGCTTAAATTTAACTGCAACAAGTCTATGTAGGATAACTCTTACTGCAGATACTTTGCACAGACTGGCATAAGCTCTACATTATGAGGGGTTTAAGTGACACCAAAAAGCAGTTTTCTTGAAGAGTAATATTGGAATACCTTGCCTTGGGACTGTGTGAAAATACAGATCTTAATAGTGTTGCGATGCTAAAGCAACAACTGTCTCTAGATACAGATCTGTCCTCTCCTTGTATGAAAGGTTTTGAGAACAGATTTACTTTAGTGACTACTTCAAATATACATGGACAACTCTGGCACACAGAAGTAACAGTGATGAAAGGCACAATTAACATGACCCATATCAGGTTTCCAAAGATAGCAGCAAGTTTTAAACCCAATCTCTAGCAGTCCAGTGGGTATTACTACATCCACCGTTCTGAGTGGCAGGTCAATGAACATGGAAGGAAAGTACAAGTTGGTTTGGCTACAGGGTTGGGCTTATGGCAATGCCTGCAGCTGCGAAGTCCACAAGGCAGAAGTAAAACTGACCATCACAAACAATACCTTATGGAAAGTGAAGATGACAGTTTTCCAATGCAGTGTTCAGCATGAAACATGAGCACTAGGATTCAGTTTCCAAAACAACACAAAAGTAAACTGGTTACAGTAAGACAATTTCAATACTAGAATTTGATCTCTAAGGTAAAACTATAATTTATCTTAAAATACCAAATATGCTGGCAGTGCATCTTACAGTACTTTGTGTTTCAGCCACTGTTAAGGCTTGAAGAGATTCACGTTTCCCTCTCAGCAGATGCTGAGCAACATTCTCCTTTAAACAAGGAAAGCACTGAACTACTGATCCTTGGAAAGTGCAGGATTCCAGTCAGGATCTGTCCCTCCCTGGCTAACAGCACAAGCTCCCGTCCTGCAGGCAGCTGCAGCCTAACTGTACAACTTTTCCCTAACAGGAATCCTAGCATCACTGATCATCCACTTCAGTTCAACAGTAAAATACTTTACATTTAGTGCCCTGTGGTGTGATACCATTGAAGGACACGGGGCCTGTTTACCTTCCCTTTAGAGAGATCAACATTTTTTTCCCTTGAAAGAAGGCTTCATCATTCTCAAAATTAAGCTACTTTAACTTCCAGCAGTTCACTGTTTACAGCAGAACTTAGCAAAACCCTTCAGAGACCACTAAGGTCAGGAAGGTGACACTCAAGTACTAATTCACCAGGTCTCCATGGGCTGTGTTTTACATCAGCAATCAATGCTAGCCTGAAAACACCAGTTGTTTAATAGCTTTTTAGCCTTATGCTGGTGATTGTAAAGATGATTTAAAAACACAATGACTTTTTTTTCCCCCCTTTCTAGCTGGAGTTACTTATGTGATGTTACTAACTTTTTCATAATACACCATTCCTAGTAAGAACAAAGATAGAACCTTGGGTTCATGCATTTTAGGGGAGGCAAGGTTTGAGAAGATTTCATTTTTCTTTTACCACCATGAGACTAAAAGAATACTCCAAGTTGGAGGTGAACTACAAAGTACTATGATACTTCATCTGGAGCAAGTACTTCCAACAAAATACAAAGATTACTGAAATTATATCTGGGAAAAAATAAAATAAGGAAACTGGTACACAGTTTCCAAATTTTTCCAAAGACTAATCACACTTCAGCTCATTCACGGAACTGTGTTTCACACAGGCAAAGTATAAATTGCTTTGCTCTAAACTGACTCAAGGTATTTAAAAACTGCTTTGAAACATCTAGACAAGCAGTGATATGACAGAAGACTCCAGTCTTTTCTTGGTCCATGAATCACATCTATCTGAATTTTTCTAAGCCATCTTTAAGTACAGAAAAAATGAATATATCCATAGGAATTTTTTCCATCAGTGAAAACACACGGTTGAGATGCCTGCCAAAGCTCAAAGCCTTATACAGTGCTTTAGAAACACTCTAATTTTCACATCCTGTTCACATTATTTACAAAGTTTTCAGTAGGATGACCCACTGAATGAGCAAAGCAAGATTATACTGACAGTCTTGTGTTTCCTTGGTCCTAAGTATTCCTTATCAGCTCAGAAAAGCAAATGTTCACATCAGCCAGTCTGTTTGGCATCCAGTATAAGTTCATTTGCCGAGCTAATGAAGATTTCTGGCTATGCCTTTGGTTTCACAAAAGTTTGCTCTTCTGAAGCTTTAACAGCTTCAGGAACTAACAGGAGCATAGGATAGTGCAGGTTTTTTTAAAACACTTTCCATTATTGGATATCTCTTAAGATTCAGCAGCCTTGAGGGGATTTTTAAGGTCACAACAAAAGTAACTTGAAATTGAATGCATGAAGGAAAAAACTCTCTCAAAACAGGTAATAGGTTTAAGATGCTGTTTAAGATCTCTTATGGTAATACTGTTCTTACAATGGAGATGTGCAGGAGATACCTGCCCACTGGTGTAGACACAGTCCCAAAGGGTACCCAAGCTAAAGGCTGGTAAGCCAAACAGCCCAGGTGTTCTAACTTCACCATACTTCCAGGAAGGAGACTTGCACCACTTTAGCCTGACTTAGGGATTGGAATTTAAAGGTACAAAGCCCAAAATAGTTGTCTGCAGAAATAATCTACCTGATAACACCAGTTCTGAATTTACCTGGATCTATGAAATATAATTTGTATTAATGTGGCACATTTATCTAGAGAGCATATATGCTCAGGAACATTGAAAGTATTCAAGCAGCCCAGAGTATTTTCAACTCCTGCTACTACAATGTAATAAAAATGCATCCCACATTTTACCACACACTAGTTTAATTTGTTGTCTCAGATAAATTTTTTCTCAACATTTTTGAATACTAAATATACTACTAACCAATCTTGCAATCACTGTATGGGTTCTATGTATTTAAATATATTAGCAATGATTCATCTTAACTACTGTGAAACGTCAGGAACAGTGATGCTTTGAGAATAAGCACACAGCTTTCTTACATAAATAGTACCAGTAAACTTCTGGACTCACAGAAAATGGAAAAGGTCACTGTCAGCAAAACTAATTAAGAAACTGCAGTATTGAATGTATTTCTGCAGTCTGGATTATAATAAACAACCCTAGTTTAATTAACTTGCATCATTCATTCAGACACAGCTGAGAAGAAAACCTAAATACTTTCTCAGACCTTTGCTAGCTGACGTGTGATAAAAAGCCATTGCATGTTGGTAATTTGATGGCAGGGCATTATTATACAGGAAACAAACAGGGCTGTAGCACCACAATAGGCTAGAGTCACACAGGATTCAGAGCCTAGTCACCCACATTCCTAAACCCAAGAATAATCTTCATTTGTGTGACCAGTGCTTAGCTTATGCCCTCAGTGTCTATGGGCAACACAAGCTTTCCAAGTAACATTTTATTTACACCACCTGATGCAATCAGAAAAAGTAAACAAGGTCCACTTGGTATCTAATTTTTCTTGAACTTACACCAATCAGTCTAAACTGAAGGTCTTACCTCTGTGTACAAATCTTGTCTTCCCTAGACAACATAGCTAAATCAAAATGACAACAGTCTGTAGGAGTAGTTAAGTTCTTCAACTTGAATCTTGCTGAATTGTGAAAGCTATGGCACAATTCTCCAACAAGGCAGAAGACAGGTTGACACTATAATCCAGTGGTGAGGGCTTACAGTGCTAGAGAGGCAGCTTTAGGCTCCTGCCTAAAGGTTTGTAAGGACAAACCTATCAGGAAAGGGAGCCCAAATCTATCAGCTGAACTTTATTGGGAAAATACAAATTCAGGACCTCTGCCCTAGATCAGGGAACCTGCAACAGGCTTGCCCTGATCACAAAGACAATAAAGGTCATTTCCAACTTAAGTGATTCTATGATTCTGTGTTGGGGGTAGCAGAGTGTGTTTTTTTCCACAGGGAAAGCTGGCCAGCTTTTGAAATGTCAGTTCCAGGAGGCTGGTTCACAGCACAACTGAGAATACCCAAGCCAGTGTGGATGCCTCCCTCCAATGTCAATCAGGCACTTCATTCCTATTAAAGGGAGGAATTCCTCCCTCTCTCCTGGCCATTTCTGACTAACTGAATTTTTCCCATGCATGAGTCCTTACACATAAGCACCTAAGTAGGACTCTTAAGAAAAGCAGCAGCATTAGTACTGTGACAGTTCCACTCTGACTGTAATCCAGACCACTTTCTGTTCCTGACCGCATTTCTGATTCATTTAAGATCACTGTTTCCCTTGAAATGAAAAGGCAGGGTACTAACTTGAGGCCAAATTCCGTTCCCACTATAAGGTTAGTGCGAGTTTCCATACTGATCCATAAAGGAGTCAAGCTAAGACCTTGTTTTGAGCAAAAGAAGAAAATAAACTGTAACTACTCACTAATGTATCTAAAATAAACACTGCAATAACAGAACTTTTTAAAAGGAGACCACTGTAAATCAAATGTATCTACTGTTCATTCTTGTGATAAAAGGTAGCCTCTTGTCACTCCAAAGCAAAGCTGGAGAATGATTTTCTTCAGTACAGAAAATGAATTTGTTCAGCCTAGGAAATGTTTACAAATATTTTTAGAAAGAACTGGTTTGGAGTAAAAAAAAAAATTTCTTCTAAAATGCAATGGATTCAATCTAAAATCACTGCAGATTTAGTACATAATATGAAACAAGACATCTCAACATGCTTTTTGTGTGGCTACAAACTGTACATAGTGTAATTTCATAAGCCCCAAAGAATAATGCTCTTCAGAACTCTGTTTATGCCTCTGAACATCATTCAGATTCTGTGTATAAAACTACATAATTTAGAAACTTAATCTTGTTTTTTTAAACATGGCAGTATATTTGAAATATGGTATTAATTTATGTTTGCATCTCCAAAGAAAAATGTAGAAAGATAACTTAAACTAGAGAATTCATAAAAAAACTATATCAATTTAAAATTTTACTGCATAAAAATATGTACTTTTCAAATTATTTTAATAAATTAAATATCCCTAGCATTTTTTAATATATATCCCTGACAGTCTATAAAAGAGGGTTCTTGATATAGAAAATAAATGGAACTCCGAAAGTACCCCCTTCATAAAACTTATTTAACAATAATTATATTTTTTTTTTTCTTCAAGGAATGTAACAATATGTACAACTCTATATTACTATACTATCAAAATAGTACAGGTTAAGCGTAACAGGGTTCTGCAACCATAAGATGGTAAAGTCACATTACAGTGGAGGACAACTTGGGCCTCGGACGGACATTATCAGTGTGGAGCATCAGTTTCTGGATGGATCAGATAAGAAGGGGTAAATACAATCTTCTCATCTACAGTAGATTTCACAGGAGGTAGAGTTCAAGTGAAAAAGAATGACATTTGGAATAAGGTGCATGCTCAGTATTTTCAATTTGTGACTTTCTAAGGATGTCAGATTTTATAGGAAGAATTTTCAAGGATTCTTTCTTTTTCCTCTAAAGCAGATTTCCATGATCAGTTTGTAATCTTTTTAATATGAATCTGAAATAGAGAATCAGAAAAAAATAAGTCATGGTTTAGTGTATTACATTTCTCAGTAATAAGAGGTAACTATTTTTAGTGTTAGCTAAAAGTGTGAGCTTCAAAAAAGAATGAAAAAATCTCCCATTCACTGGTTATGTTTTTCAATGTTCTAGCACCTCTTACCTCGTTCAAAATTGCCCAAACAGCTGAATTTTGTATCACTGAAAGCCGGAATGATGAAATAGGATTTAGGCTGGGGTCAACTGTTCCTTCAGCTACACCATTTTCAAACTTCCCTGCAAAAGTACATACTCAATTAAGTCCAACAAACAAGTACAAAATCCAGAAAATGTACCTGCGGTATCACAATAAACTGTGACAGAATCAGAGTATCATTCCCAAAATAAAAGGCAGTGAGCGATTTTGACATCAGATCCAGTTTTTGCAGCAGCAAACAATATGGGGCACACCAATCTGAACAGGATTACACATAATGACAGCTTTGAAACTATCTAAAGGCATTAACACCTTGAACTCGGTGAAGATTTTGACACAGGTATTCATTTAATATCACAGAAATTATATGCTTTTAGCTTATGTGTTTTCAAATAGGATTAAGGACAAGGAATATCATTCATGCATAACATATTCTTATTTAAAATATCTTCAGTTATAGTAGGACAAGTAAGAATTAAATTTAAAAGCCCAGTTAGACTTTACAGTTAAACCATATAGACAACTGTAATTTATTATGACAAAAAAATGTGCTTCCGTTTAACAGAATTTCCCAAACTGTGTCCAGCAACTCATTAAAACTGTGTAAAATTTCTCTTCCTTGACAACACGTATCCAAGTACCTTCCTCAACAGCTACTTGGATGTTGAAATGCCAATCTCATCCTGTGATGAGAAAGCTGATTGTTTATAGGGTGGGTTCAAATCCAGGCCAAGCACACAACTCACACCAAAGCACTTGTGCAGTCACAGGACAGAGGAGGTGATCTTATAAAACCTGGAAATGCCTTTATTATAATCTAGGTGATTCAAACTGGCAGAAAAGTTGGATGTAGCTGCACTACAAGTAAGAGTCACAAGAGATCTCTGTTTAGCACATCAGTCTCTGAAAAGAACTAGTGCACACAATATTAAGTAAAGCCTACAGAGTCACGTACCCAAATTTGAATGGTAAAAATTCTGGTTTAGGTTTGTTTTGGTTTTAATAAAGATGTCTTTAAGAGTTGCAATAGTAAAAAGACACTTTTTTTTTCTACTGTTACATACCTATCCTGAAGTAACCATCCTCTAAGCGTTTGTCTTTGGTTTCTTTGCTTAATACCAGTTCTTCACTCTAGAACAACAAAGCATAAATGAGATAATTTATTTTGACATATGACTGTGCCAGAGAAAGACAAATGTGTTTGCATTCTTCTTATATACTCAGCATCCATTTTTTCCAAATAATTAAGAATGAGCCTGGAATATAGTTACTTACAGCCTTAGACAAGGCAACACAAAAAAACCCTAAACAAAACAAACAAACAAAAAAAACCACACCCAAAAAAAAAAAAACCCCACAAAAACCACGAAGGAGCAGCAGTGTCCCAGGAGTGAACAATACTTGGCTTTGAAGGAGAGAAATCTCCTCTAAGTGCCCCATGAAACTCACATGGTAATTGCCACGTGAACAGAATTCTTAGCACATACAGTAGGAGACAAGGAAAGACAGGACCTGCCTTCTTTTTCTGTGGCTTAACAAGAGCTTTCTTTCTTGGACAAATGAAAACCTACAGCTTGCTTTTTGACCTAAGACTTTGGGTGAGATGGAAAGCCATCAGACCAGCAAGGGAAGCACCTCAACTATCACTGCCTCACTGTAGGGATGGGGATCAGTAAGTGTTTTTTAATAAGCACCAAAAAAAAAAAAAAAGGTTGAAAAACAGCTCAAAAATTAAAACCATGATCCAATACTGAAAGACCCACTCTAAGAATTTCTCAGGAATTAATTAAAAATGCTTGGTAAAATGGAGATTAAATTTATTAGGTTTTTTTTTTTTTTTAAATTCCTGTTTTGAACTAAGGCTGCTGAAAAAGTGGTGGGAATGTTTTTGGTTATTTATCTGGGGGGAAGGTGTTTTGGTTTTCTTTGTCATTGTTGTTTGGGGCAGGTTTTTGTTGCAGGTTGCCTTGAGGGCTCTTTTAGTGTGCTGCTTGAATCCCAGACAGATCCAGTCTGGGGGTACTCTGGTATCTAAGGGTTGTTTTTTGTTTTTCTGAATTCTACTTAAGGAAGATCAGGGTTAAAATATTTGAATGAGTTTCTAGCTCTACTGAAGTGCAGGGTGGAGAAACAGGGCCCTCAGGAGCTGCTGTCCTCAGCTGATAATATTTTACTGACAATATTTTCTGCTGACACCAGTGGCTTAGGAACAGGCCAGATGCAAAATTTCCTGTTTACCTTTTACACAAATTGCATCAATAGCAATAGAACCTCTGCAGCATTACTTCCTTAAGGGCTGCTCTGGTGGGGGACATTCCACAGCTGAGTAAAGCCATAAAGGAGATGCCTGATGCACATTTTTGCTCGTTATCTTGTACATTCTTGTATCTTGGGCTTAGATGAAGTGAGGGCTGCTGATGTTTTTGTGGCTGAATGTATTTCTACAGGTCTTGAGAAAAAAGCCCCTTGGATTTTATGACACAATATCCCACGTCATGTTGTATAATTAGAATCAAACTAGCAATTTTGCTTTTTAAGGATGGGAATAGTAAGAACTTCCTATTTTTGCCTGCTCCAAGGAAGGCAGACTGGGAAAATGGAGATGTGAACTCCTCCACACTTACTTACTTAAAAAAAAACCTACAAAAAAAAAACAAACCCCATTCAACATATGGCAATTTCAGCGTATTTTTCAAGATTCCTTTACCAGGTATGTGGGGGAAGATAGAGATACTTTGCCATTTTAATACTAAATAAAATAAACTTGTCTGAAGTAATATCTTAATCCTCTCAGTCTTTTGTTATATAAATAGTTAGCTGTAATATCTAGTTGAAGTAAAAGAACCAATGCCATCTGACTTCAAACAATATACTTTAGATAGTGTAGCACTCTCCTGTTATAAAACTGGCTCATTTATGGGGAAAAAAATCAGAAACTGGGAGAAAGGTACACATTCTGTTTAAGAATCTATATATTTTGGTATCTAGTGGGTTTGGATGTGTGTCAATCCCTCAACTAAGACTTTTTTATGAAGTCAAATAGCAGATTGACTTACATCTCCCAAAATACACAGGAGAGGGCAGACTGTTTATTTTTTTGTTTTAAATAGCAGCAATGAACTGGAAGAAAATGACCTTGCTCACCTCAAAATTACCAACAGCACTTGTAGCAACTGCACCCTGAATGAACATCTGAATAGTTACAATAGTCTTCTCTGAACATATTCAATGAAAAGAAGGAAAAGTATGAGAACATCAGAACATCAAGTTCATACAGTTAAAAGAAGCATTTGTGTCTCCTCACCCTGTTAAAAAAGTCAAAGAGACTTTTCCTTTATCCTGTACAGGAGAAGACACAAATAAAAAAATTCATACCTGAAAAGGCAAAACTTCTACAGTTGTGTTTAGAAGTATGTCTCCAGGATGCTCTGGATTGCCACTGTGAAACAAGTACCTATAAATGAAAAGGAAAAAAAAAAGACAGTCTTCGTACATCAGTCTGAATCAGCTGTGTTACTGTCTTACATGTTAACTGTCACTTATGGATGTTACAAGGATAAACATATTTTTTATACTGGGCCTACATCAGCTGGGGCTAAGATGGTTTCACATGTTACTGTAATTGGAAGGGGTCAAGTTTTGCAGTTGCTACAGAGTAGTTTGGCAATATTTTACAGAGGAAGGGAGTCTGCATCATCTGCTCTTGCCAGATTGCATTACCCAAAGCTGTAGTCATTACTGCCTGGCACACACTGGTATCACCTCCAGAAGCAGGAGCCCTGCCTTCCTTCAGCCTCTCCCCTGCACACGTCACCCTCTCCCTGTGCCCACAGGATGAACTCTACAGATCCATTCTTAAACAGTTCTGGGAACTTAGCCAAGTCAATATTTTGCCAGGTGAGTGTTCCCCAAGTTCCATCTCTCCACCATGGTTCATTGCAAAATCTCATTGATCACTGTGCCAGGAATTCCCAACCTACATCCACACCCTTTATGTTACCTGAATTCAAACTTCTGTTCCAAGGACAGATTTATTTAAGAAAAAAAATCCCCCCACTCCAAAAAAGCCCCAAAAAACAAAACAAAACAAACAAACAAAAAAATAAAAAGAAAATACAACAAAAAACAAACAAAAAAAACCAAACAAAAAACTATAAAAGCCTGTTTTTGACATGTATACACACATAAAAAGGACTTTTTAAAACCTGTACAAAGTTCCCATTACTCTCACTCAGTTGTGTAATTATTTTTTTTTTTAATTTGACAGAGTAAGTATGTTGGAAACATTATCTAAACCATCCTTATCAGTATCAATCAGTGAAGTGTTCAAATTCTAGCTGCCTACTCTGAACAGCTTTTAAAGTACTGCATGTGTGTAGATTATGTTACAAAAGAGACAGTTTAATTCCTAGTTCTTTATAAATAACAGGAACTTCATGTTATTCTGAATATGCATTATGTAAACCAGTAATAATATTTTTTTACCACTAGGTGGAATCAATGCTTGAAAATTGTTCACTACTTGCCATTTTTTTCTAGTGGACCAGAGTAAATTCAGATTACTGTCATAAACTACTTAGATCCTACACCTACTCAGATGCCACTTTTAGGAAGACAATTTTACTTTTATTATGTTTAAATGAATATGTAAAAATCTATCAACACATTTCAAACCTTTCTTCAATTGGAACTTAGATGGTACTTACTGTTAATTTCTCTTTGACATTAAATATGTCACCAGCCAGAGACAAAATTAGTTCAGAAATTATCACTTGATTAAAATTAAAAACATTAGCTCAGTTTGCAATTATATTAAGATGCAGTTAGAAATGTAAATTCCAGCTTGTCTTTATCCAATATATCTGAAGCCAGTTTGAATACCTGCCATTAATTCATACTCCATAGCTACAAGACAAGTAGAAAATAGTGTTCTGACCCTGACTCAGAAATGTCTGTGACCCCCAAATGATAGAAGTATTTTAGGAAAAGCACACACACATAGAACATTTATCAAGGCTCAGAAAAGGAGCAACACCTCACATTGTGACACAAGAAAGCCACGCCGATTCCTATTGCACTGGTTTCAGCAGAACTGCACAATTGTACTGGAAAACAGAACTGGACTAAATAAACCTCACTACTGTGTTTCAAGAAAAATAATTCCCACACCGTACTTTAATGTAAAAGTTAGTCAATTCCAAAGTATAAAAGCTACCTAAAACATCCACAGTTCTTCCTAAACAAATCTAGTGACTTTTTCTAGACATTAAGGACATTCAAAAAATCCCAATGAATTGGTTTTTCCTAGGAAAATGCCTTCATTGTACATCTCAATAGTAAGCAAAACAAAACTCTCAGGAAAGTTGACCAGAAAACTAAAAGTACATTCTGCTGCCTTTTGACCTAATAGATCTAACTAGACATTCCTTAGTCTGTCAGATAGCCTAAGCAGTACTGGCCATTTTTTCTCTTGAAAACATTGAAAATTCTAAGGAGACTAGATTTAAAATGGAAGTAATCAAACACTCGCTGTCTAAGGTATTCCCATCAAATGCTCCACCCAAACCAGACATGCTGCTTTTCCTTTGCACTTAGTTCTGAGAAGACACACCTAAAAATCCACAAAGAAACTCCCTGTGATCTGGGATCACTGTGTTCTCAATGAACAGTAATTGGCTTTGGAGCTTTGGATGGGTTTTTTGGGGGAAGCAGTAGCAGTGAGGGCTTTGTCTGTTTGTGACAGGTTGTCATTTATTTATTTGGGTTTGTTTGCTTGATTTTAAAAACAATCCTGCATGCACACAAGCACAGCCAACCATTTCTCCTACTGAGCTATCAGCTCTGAGACTGAGATGCACCTTCCTCCCTTCAGCAGTTGTCACTGCATTAGAGCAATGAACTCCCGAGTTGGCACAGTGCCAGAACAATTTACAGCAGTAATTAATCAAACCCAAATTTCATGTAATCAAACCTGCTATTTTAGTATATTTTCCATAACTATCTGTTAATCCATATGCACACACAAATGTAACACATGCACATGTCACATTTTAAATTATGTTTAGAAAGGAAGGGATATTTTTATATCTGAGCCTTGCTTCAACACTTGACAGATAACACCTACTTAGACATTAAAAGTTATACAGATTGAAAACAGAAGCCTAAATACACATACACAGTCAATCTGTATCTATGATAAATATTTTGTTTAGAACTAAAATTTACCAATTAGAAAGTTTTATTTGAAACAAAATTTAATTTACATACAAACAGATATTCTACAGCTCCTAAAATAAGTGTTATTAGCTATTCTTCTGTAAACATGCTTTTCTGACTGGGGAGATTTTCCAATAGAGATTCTTTGGAAATGGACTGAGAGAGTAAAACTAATTTCAAAACAAAGGTCTGTTAAACATCCCATTCAAAAATCCTTGAAATGGCTTTTAAGGAACCTGTCTTTACCTCCCCAAACCTTTTGCACTCCATATATGCCAAGACCTTTTTACAAACTTGCTGTTATTCTAGGTATTTAATTGGATGAGAGACTATTATGGGTTTCTTCCTCCCAGGTGGAGAGAAGACTCTTACGTCCCCTAACTAATGAACTGATTTATTCATCTGATATTTCTTAAGTAAAACAGATTATTTCTGAAAACCACAGAGACATTTGCAGGACATTTAGGGTCCTCATTAAATCACTAATGTAGAGTAAACCAGCTAATAGCCATAGGATTACAAAGTTGCTTCCTTTTATTTAATTCCTGCACCAGTAGTAAGATGTCTGGCCCAGTGGTTTCTTCCATCAAGAAAAACAAGAGAAACACTGGTTTATAACTGGACTGAATGACCTTAAATGTCTTTTAAAACCTAAAAGATTCTATTATTCTATGGTTTTCAGACTATGATAGGCATTTCTCAATACAGATACAGAAGGATCTGGGACTAGCTTTGCTTTCAATTGCTAAATTATTTTGACACCTGTTGTGGGATTTACACACGACAGGCCATGCAAACAGTAAAAACATGCACTTTTTTTCCCCAATTACTTAACATTTTTCATAGGGTAGAATCACTAAGATTTCCATGTCTACCTGCTGCTTAAACCTAACACCTTCTGAACCATTCCTTCAAATAAAAATTCTAAAAGCAATGGATCTCTAAATGTAGTAATCCCAACCAAACACAAATTCACCTAAAGTTAAAAAAGCCAAACCCTACTATTGTCTTATGGAATATTACTTCACTACTTTCTTACTTACAAAATACAAACATGAACACAGTTTCAACCTTTTTGATCAAAGTCATCAGAGAAAAGTAACTCTAACTTAAAATTGCTAAGTATAATACTAATGTATCTGAATCTAAGAGAACCTTTTCTGCTGGCAGTGTCTTTTTAAAGAGTCATGGGTCAAATTACCAGCTACTCTAGATATTCAAACACAGAGACAAAAACCTCCTCTCTACCAGAAATGATTAAATGTATGAACTCACATATGTTCTGCTCATGACCTCCATGTGGTATGAGAGTAAGAGGAGGCAAAGTGTTAATATTTCATGTAGCATTAAAAAATACACAAAATTTCAAGACCACTGAAGGTTTAAAAACAAACAAACACACCAATAGCAATCATCAAACTAAATGGAGCAAAGTCAAAGCTGCAAAGAAAACTTCTGTTTTCATACACAGTGACTTCAGTATTTACCCAGGCTGAGGGGTTGAGTTGTTGCCATGGAGCTAGATGCACATATAAAGTCAAGACAAATAGAGGGAAAAAAAATCCCAGCCAATAAGCTGAAACAAATATTCATACACATCCTAACACACAAAGGGAGGGGAAGGCATAAGTGTGATTATCATTTCTGACAAAAGATACTATTAGTCTGCCAATGCAGTTAATATTAGGGTACTTTAAAAGCCCACACTAAGGTTTAGAACCCCTCCAATACTGAGCACCCAGAAAGACTCTCATATTTTGTAACATCCCCCAGAAGATGGATAATTAATATTACTAATCTGAACTGGTGACTTTCATATTCTTTTAATAGCTAAATTTTTTCATCACCTGTGCTTTCAAAAAGAAAAGCCCAAAACAACCATGCACACCTCTACCCACCCCCTATCTTGCTTGTAAAGGGATGTATATCTCTTCTTTCTGTCACATCCAAGCATGTTTAGGCTTAAAACCTGAATTCTCTCTATTACCCAATTTAGTTTCTTCTAGGTGTTAAAAAATATTTTATATTTTATATTTAAATAAAGTGCAAATTATTTTTTCTTCTATAGAAAGTGTTCTAATCACATGTTCTAGTTAAAATAGAACTGAATACACAACAATTTTATTAGTAAATTATGGCAGTTTTATAAAAGGAGACAGTATACAAAAATACTTTAAACAGCACAATTCACATTCACTATCAATATATCTGGGTTTTGTTTTGAAGGAAACAAGTTAT